ACCTGTGGTGATTTTGAGATCAGTTCTTATATTAAAATCACTTCCATCTGTAAAACCATTCAGTTTTTCATACCTATCTTACTTTAGTCCATGTTGATGTCAATGCAAGATTTAACGAATAGTTTATCAAATATTTAAGACAGAAGTATTTTTTAAGAAAAAAAAAGAACAGTACTAATGGAGTTTTTTTCCAAAAAGTATTTCTTGATCTGATGTAAACTCTAATAAAGAGCATGATACTCTCACATTTTTTCTAACACCTGAACCACCTGATCTACAGCTAACAGAGTAGTGTTTTAACAATGCTACCTTTCTGAAGATTATTCTTCGTGTATAAGGCTATCTACTTTTAAAGTCCTGGTAATGATCCTTTATGTCTGAAGGGTAACAGTGATGATGTGCTGCTGCATTACAGACAGATGTTCTGTTTTCAAAAGGAAGTCATCTATATTCTCTCTGGGAAAGCGGAGGTACACCTTCTATTAGAGATCGAGGAGGGGCATATTTATGGTCATGTATGAAGTGTCACAGTCCAACCTGCAGTGTGAATGCAATTGCTAAGCGTCCACATATTTTGAAAACATACAAGATGCTTCCTATAGCCAAAGAAACTAAACAGTACTATGAACAGCATAAACAGTATGCACCTTTTAATAACGCTATTTATTCTGGTTTGTAGTTACCCTTAAACATTAAGTATACTTAAAAGAGCACATTTTAACGCATTAATTCTATGGTAACAGCCTGCTTATAAAATATTTATAAAACAGATACTTAAAGATTATACTTAATTGGCAAAATTTATCCACAGCCAGAGGCAAATGACATTTTCATAAATAGCATCCATTCATAAATATTTTGATAATAAAAATCCAAACAAGCAATTAATAGATTCTTGCCAGAGTAGGATTAGACTACCAGATCAGGCTTCCTAGTAATTTCTCCAATATTTCACAAAGAAATTGCTTACAGGGACATTAACAGCATACTGCAGCCCTTGAGGAAGTCTATCTTGCGTATCCATGTCATCATCATTTTTTACCGTCTCCTCATGGACCATGAGTTCATCATGTGAAATCATCTCTTGCTGTCGAAGTTCACTTTCCTGTAACACTTCATCTGTTGCAAGAATTTCTTGGTGTGCCATAGTCCGATCTTGAAGGACTGCCTCTTGCCGTTCTCCCGATACTCCAGACTGGTCAGATACTGCACCCATCCCTACCATAGCCCTGGATGACTGCATTTGGTCTATGCCACCACATTTAAGAAATAATCCTCCCAGCTTGTCTTCAATGTTCATTCTTAAGTGCAATAACCTACAAAGAAAGTTTTAATAGTAAACATCTACAATTGGTGCTCTTGCTCAAAATTTTTTACTTAAAAACATTTTATAAGAACTCAGTACTCAACATACACACATGCACTCCTAAAATCGATATCCAAATAAAAGTGGAAAGTTGGATATCTTGGTTCAACATGAAGAGATTCTCCTTCCACACACATGCATGCATAGACAATTAAACACTTTAAAATAAAAAGTTTCAAATCAAAGTGCCTTGTGATTACTGGCAAAATTCTGGTAATTAAATGATAGCTAATTCTTCCTTCTCCTTAGAAAACTGGGTTTTTTCCTCTGTGGCCTTTTTACTCTGTTCCCTTTGTCCATTTTGACCGTCCTTTACAAACGCCTCTTTCATATTGGTCCTGTTCTCCCTACTTCCTTGTCCTTTAAGTGCCCTTTCACTGCTGCTACCCCAGGGCATACTGTAGCTGCTGGAACATCTTAATATCAACAAGTGAGAGAAAACTGGGCTGCATCAAAAGAAGAGTGGCCAGCAGGGTGAAAGAGGGGATTCTGCCCCTCTATTCTGCTCTGGTGAGACCCCACTTGAAGTACTGTGTCCAGCTCTGGGGCCCCCAACATAGGAAGGACATGGACATGTCCAAAGGAGGGCCACAAAAATGATCAGAGGATTGGAACACCTCTCCTATGAGAAAAGGCTGAAAGAGCTGGAGTTCTCTTCAGCCTGGAGAAGACAAGGCTCTGGGGAGACGTTACTGTAGCCTTTTAAGTATTAAAATAAGACTTATAAGATGGAGACAAACTTTTTAGTAGGGCCTGTTGTGATAAAACAAAGGGTAATAGTTTTAAACAAAAAGTGGGTAGATTTAGACTAGATGTAAGGAAGAATTTTCTTACGACGAGGGTGGTGAAACACTGGCACAGGTTGCCCAGAGAAGTGGTAGATGCCCCACGCCTAGAAACATTCAAGGTCAGGTTGGACGGGGCTCTGAGCAGCCTGACCTAGGTAAAGATGTCCCTGCTCACTGCTGGGGGGTTGGACTAGATGATCCTTAAAGGTCCCTCCCAATCTAAATCATTCTATGGTTCCATGAAAACGCAACTTTCTGGCTAAAGGTGTATGTCAAATAAAGACTACAGAGAGATCAAATCTGTTCATAAAAAAGGCATTCACTTTCACACCCACTAAGCAGGACATTAGACAGGAAATGTGAATCCCAGTCATGAATAGCAATACCGTTACATTGACTTATGGTCCGGAGATAAGATACAAATTCGTGATATTCCAACAAGTGTCATGCTATTATTGGTTTTTAACACAGGGCAGCAGGCTTTTGGGAAGCTGGAAGTGGTAGCATCTTCTTATTCTACTTATTGTTATATAAGCAAGATAGTCCTAAGATGACTCTCCTTGGCATACTGGATGTCCACAGTGGTCAGCCCCCTTCACTCTGTTCCCCAGGCCCATAACTCCTACCCATTCCACACTGCTCTGGTCTGCTCCTTCAGATAGACAGACAGACAGACAGACAGACATTCTTCCTCCATCCCTCTATCTGCCCACAGCAGGAGGGAAAAGGCTATACGAAGGCTACAGCAGACACAGGGACGGGAGCAGACTTGGACAACACACAGCAGGCCCAACCAAAGCACAACAAGACGGGTATCTTGGGCAGTACAACAGCATCAGCACCTTTGATTTTGATGCATTCAGAACTGTGATATAGATGTGAAGTTGGTATATTGCTAGTCATCAGCTCCAAATTCTGTCCCCCCAAGGGTGCAGTATGGTGAAAGGCTCCACCTCCACTCAAGTTTTGAGTCAGAGGCTACGCTTCTTTCCCTGCAGCTCTTGATGACAACTCATAACTGAAGAAACCAAATCTCTCTGCCTAGAATTGGCAAGGCCACCACCCTGCAGAACTGCACCACAATAACCCCCTGCCAGTTTAACAGCCTGCCAACACGCAAAAAGACTGGATCAAACAAACGTACATGAAATGTTTAAATTTCAGTTTTCAGTTTGATACATTTGATCACTTTTCCAAATAATTTTCTTCACCAGGAAAATCTTTCAAAAATTCTTGATGTATCTTAAACATCTGTGAAGATTTGTTTATACCAAACAACACTGAGTTTACAAAACAAATAGTGGTCTTTCTTCAGGTGAGATCCTAGAGTACTTGGTAGGAATGCAAGCCACCAGCAGAAACAACTGAAAAAGATCTCTTAAGTTCTCCTACATTATACTTTGTTTCAAATACGACTATTAGTTCTTAACCTTCTGAAAGTAAAATTCACTCAATTTAATAAAAAAACAACTAAACAAAGACACAAACCAACCCACCACACACCCCAACAAATTAAAAAAAAAAGCCCATTAACACCTTCTGGCAGCAACTCAGGTCCTATAACTCCGAAGTGAAAGAATATTTGTCCCTATTCTCTATCGTGAAGGTTCTGAATTTCTGAATATATCATAGGAAGCTGACAGACAGGATGGCCTCTCTGATTTTCAAATATTTAACAGGTATGCCAAAGAAAGAAGCTTTTCAGTCAATTAGGCTTTGGTTTTTTTTTAGTAAGCCTTCCTCTGCTGGAAGTCAGGAGGACAGAGTCACCAAGCTAAATCTGTTTATACATGACAATGCCATAAAAATGTTTAATATTCTTCTTTCCTACGTAAAAGGCACACTCTAGGCACCAAAAAAGCCTGTGACAGGAGAAGAACATGGGGGAAAATTCTGTTGAGAACACTTATACTTGCAATTTGTCCTTTCTTGTTCTTCTGCAATTCCAACGTAAAGAAGTTTGAAATCTGACTCTTGATTTTCACAGCATGTGTCTTCAAATACAGACAACAATTCCTTAATCCCTTGAGTGAGCTCAGGTAGTGCTAGGTGGCAAGTTTACTCCCAAGTTAAGAGAATGAGATTTCACATGTCTTCAAGGGAAAATGCACGCCCCGTATGCCACACCTGCAGACATTATATAATTCACGAAGTATTTTTTGGAGGTAACAGGGAAACCATACTGATAGTTTCTCAGCAATAACACAGACAAGCAAACAACCTGGCAGAGCACAAAGGCTGTATTTTTTCCACCAATGCAGATCTTCCAAAGAGATCTTGCAACAATATCCTAAAAGAAGAAAATGAGGATGAATTTATCCTCTTATTGGTGTGGAATATCCTGTGCCAAGTACGAAATGTGAGAAGGAACTGAAGTTCATAAGAATCTGTCTCCCATGGAGCCATTATTTGATAAGAGATGGTGCAAAAGATCTAAGGTTGAGACTAGTTTCTTAGGTAGGGCATTTTAAATATCTAGTTTGAAAGACAGACTCCAAGGAAATCAAGCAGATATATTTATTCATTTCAGCCTTTATCCCAAGTTAATCCATACTCAGGGTGCATCTCGCACAGATTGACATTCACTATGCTTTTGTTCCACACTACAGCAATATGACAGCATAAGCTCACTGCAGATTCTTTAGAGGAATGACGTGGACAGGTACTAGAATACAAGAACTCAAGATGCTGAAACACATTCAAGGGTGAACAAACAGTATCAAGTGTGAGAACACGGTGGCCCTGATCTGTCTGCTCAAGCCACTGACAAAAACAGCACAGAAGGTTGTCCCACATGGAGGATACTGCCATATCACTCTGAAATTAGGTATGAATTGCGGCAATCCTGGATTTAAAGCTATTTCCTGGCAGGAAAGCAGGCAGGCAAATGCAGATAGAGAGACTGACTGCTTAACAGCGCAGAAGAACCTGCTACTCTCACCAACAGAGGCAGGAAGACTCAAGACATGCAGAATCTTAGGACAGCTGGCAAGATACAGCAGCTGCCCAGAAGACAGGCTAGCAGTGTACTGGTATTTATTGGTCTCATTAGTTCTCTCAATTGCCAAGGATATGGAAACTTTTTCTTTCTCACCCTGCATAGTAGCCTTAGCAGAGTCATGCAACTGAAAGCACTCAAGTCGTTTTCCAGTCATGATCTTGAGTCATATCAGAAGCTGGTACTGTGACTGTACCGCTTATTAAATCAAACTTTCGAACATCTGGCTTTTCATACAAACATAATGACAACTCCTAGTGTTAGGCTGCATATTCTAAGTGATGAAATGCAATATAAGTTATATGACACGCTGATACTGTTTTAAAATGAAGAACCACAAAGCTATTAATCCAAACAAGAATTATCCCAATTGCAATCAATTCAGTAAAACACATGTAATTCGTCAGCTGACAGCTTCTGGCTCACATAAAAGGAATCCTATCATTTAAACTGAAGATGAGGAGAAGCGTTCTTGGAGGAATGACAGTATGATAAAGAAAATGTAAGTTAAAAGCATTCAAACAAGCTCACTTTACCAGGTCTGCAAAGATTAAATGAACTTTTTAAGTGCAAGATGCATCTGTGAAATAAAGGTCAACTGATTTTGAAATTGAGGGAAACTACAATAATACCGACCATATACTACAACACGCAAGCACATTTCTTGGCATAAGACATTATTATCCTTATTGCAGAGATGTTTTCCATGGAATTTCAGAACTTCTATTAAGCTTCAGCAAATAATCATATGATTTTTCTTTGAATATATCGTTTCTCTGACAGAAAAAGAGCTGTCAACAAAACCTTTGAAGTATTCATTTTGCTTGGCAGAGGTTCTCCAAGCCTTTACTCTAGGTAAAGCATTTCACAAGAGACATCTACAGGCAGAGCTTCCCAGGTATGCACACATTTTGAGGGAGGAGAGAGGGGAGGGGGAGGGACTGCACAGAAAAGGTCCCATGGGATCATCCCAGCACCTTCTCTATTCACACAATGCTCCACTGCTACTTGCAGAACATCCACAGCCAGTGAACCATGTTGCTTCATTTCAAAAACTGCTGCGACGCCAAACCCTACGGCAGTACTTCAAAACTATTCATTTCAGTAACCCTGACATCAGTTTTTCCAAAGATTACTGGTGCGGTAAGTCAGAGAGCT